GGACCCTTGTCTAATGACACAATCTGGAAGATTCCTGGAATAATTAATTGGATCTATGACGCAAAATGGAAGATTAACCAAAACTCTCTGTGGACCAAACAGAACTGCCGATTCCCCGCAACTTTAACCAACCAAAGATTTGCTTTCTTGATCGAAACGGAGTACCGCAGGGCTTCAGCTTCTTTGCGCTATTGTCATTTTGATCTCCTGATGATCCTGTTCGAGTATGCTTCCACAAAGCACCCCACTTCTATACCGTAGTCAGTAAACTCGCAAGCTTGGCTTCAGTACCGTAGCAAGGTTAGCCATGGCGGATTTTACAGAGACTGTATCTGAAGGCTTCATGATGGATCCTACTAATGCTACTGGAGGGCTCGACATGAATGAAACTGAATCACAAGACTCGACCGTGTTCGCCACAGATTTTACAGAGTATTATCTCCCCCAAATTGCGGCTCTATCCAGCATGTTGTGTAGTGGGTTAATCATTGCCGAAGTGCGGGAGGACGGCCGACAGGGAGCTGCCCAATCTACTACTTTCATAGCTGTTGGTGCTGTGTCTCAAATCTTGTTGTCGATGAGTGCTGGGGATATGCTCTTTTCATTGTAAGTCAAGAGATGTGAACTTGGCAAAAGGCCAACCAGGCCTGTTGTCTTGGCTAGCTCCTCACGTACCATTTCCCCTGCAGAGGCTGGTTCTTGGCTTCTTGGGCACATTTTGGTGGGAGCTGCATCTTTCAGGGCTTAATAATTCAACTGGGATACATGGCATCCTTGCTCTTTAGTAGTTCTCTGGCTGTGGTCTATCTACTCATGATCGAGTGCAATTGGGATCAAGGCAGGATTCAAGCCAGAATCCCCTACATGATGCTCATCTTGTGGAGTATCTGCCTGGCCTCAGCCCTGGTCCCCTTGGCATTGCATAGGTACCGGTACCAACCCGTTGGCCCAGTCTGCTGGATTGGTTCCCCCAATCCGAAGGATGCCACCTTTATCGTTGCCGCCCTCCAGCTGATACCCGTTTGGTCATGTATCTTTCTGGATTCTGTGATTATGTTTCTCATTTTTCGAAAGGCAAGACTACTTGAAGCCCAAGTGGATAATGTTGATCAATACCAAGAAAGTCTCGATTCACACACAAACACAGAAAAAGACGATTCAGCAATGACAGTCAACCGAATTGATACACCTTCTCGCCCAAATTCGAATGCAGAATGTTTGAGAGGAAGCGAAAGGTTGAGGGAAAGTGAGAGCAATCATGAAGTGTTGAGCCATGGCAAGAACACCCCCTGTGATCCGCATAGAGGAAGCGAGGGGTATTGGGACAATTTGAGCCGTCATGAAGTGTTGTGCTTTGTAGAATTCATCCGCAGGGAAGCAGTTCCCACAGTATTCCCCTACCAAGCTGAAGCTGGTGGAGATGGGACGAATGTCTGTAAAAGCATGTTGCTCAGCAGCATCCTATCAATTATATCCAACACTTCTAGAGCCCATGATCCCCGAGAAGATCAGCTCGATCCTGTTGAAGATTCTATGATTCAACAAGAAGAGCAAGTAACAGTCCAGTCAGAGGAACAGCAGCCAGAAACAACCATCACTACAGAGCTACAGCAAGAAGGAAGTTTGACCTGCAACCAAAATGACAACACCATCCACCACATTGAACCATCCACTATTATTGACAGCGCCCCCACTGCTGAATGCTCTGCTGATTCTACCCCCAACAGCAACAGGCCTCGATCACACAAGCGATCCCAAATTATCGCCCAACAAGGCATGTGGTACATTGCTGGATTTTTGATGACATATGGATTTGCCACAATTTCCATTCTTGTTTTTGTTATTTCTGGAGAATGGAATCCCCCCCTGGATCGTACCAGCTATTTCTTTTTGGCCAGTCAGGCTGTCTTCAACTTTTTGGTCTTTAGCCATGGGCGACGACAAATGAAGACATGGGTGGGGGCTACGCTCAAGAGTTGGATATGGAATGGTGCAGCATATTGCCATCGTTGCTGGTGTCTATGTCCCACCCCTGCAAAAGTGCCAATCTCTGAACTGGAAGAAGCTTCCATAGAGGAGTTGGAGAGGCCCGTTTGGGAAGCCAGCGAAATATCTGTTTAAGAGGAGGCGTAGACCGCAGCAGTGGTTTTTGCAAGAGCGCTGAGTGTAACAGCTCAAGTCCACGATGGGCTAGCTAGAGCTTGCTCATATCCTCATCTGTGCGCCACTCCTTGCAGCTGCCAATGTCGTACTATCCAAGCAATGACTTTCCTGGGGATTGGTTTTGGTTCCTTTGCTTGCGTGGTGATGGACAGCTCTCTACACAATGGAGGCATTGTTAGATTGACAAGCAATCACCACCACCAATATCCACGGCAGAAGAATCAAACAGCTCTTGCTCGAGAGACGAGGACGTCGTCAGTCCAGCTATGGAGACCATGGATAGAGTACCACCACTGCAGATCCGGGATGAATTGACAGAAATTCAAGGGAGCACTTCTTTTACCCCCATTAGAGTTCCCTCCTTGCCAAGTGCCCTGCACCCAATCGTGTACATGTAGCAAGAATCGTAGTATGCCGCCAACAGGGCAAAAGCTTTTTGTGTCGTTTGATTGCTTGTTTACTAGCTAGTGGCAAACTAGGTTTCTCCGACGATGAGTGGCTCTCTTCACCAAGCTCGCCGACGTAGTGCAAATAGTGGTACCACGGAGTGGTGCCTACCGGGTACGTTTGAAGTTGTGATCAATCCTCCTTCCTCATGGGAAGCAAGATAGCTCGCTACCGGTTCGTCAAAAATTTGCTTTCGTTGAGCGCTACGCGACTTCTACACGAAAAAGCGCCATTGTCGTTTAAGCTTCCTCAGCGACGAGCACTACCGTAGTCTAGTTCCAAGATTGTGTTTGCCACGGACCTCTTGTTGTCGCCCAGAGTTTCCTTTCGTTGGCCTGCTGCTGTTGTTGTGAACTTGTGGCCCACGGTGCCTTCTGTCTCGCCCGACGCACGAAGCACCCTTTTTCCACCCCTAAACTCCCGTGATCATCATCCTCTTGCCTCGCCTATGCATATGAGGCGAGGTCCTATCCATTCTCCATGTGTGTCCTCCGTGCATTCGCGAAACACATTTATTTTCGTCGATTTATTTAGTTGTACGAATCAAGATTTTATTCCTATCCACATACAGTGGTTCG